GAAGTCAGAGCAGGCAGAACTAGAAAATGGGAAATTTTATTATCTGAGAATTATTTTGTGCATTAAATTGAATGAACATGGTCTGGATAGCCCACAGACACACCATAAACATTTCTAGGACCCATAATTGGTCTCCTTTAATTAGCTCTGACTGCACAGCAACTTCAGAATCAACATACTCTGTAAACACCGCATTGAATGAATGAGACTCGTCTTTTTCTGCGCATGCGGGTAGTGAGTTGCTAGTAGCCTGTTTGCTAGCAGCCTGTGTTGTTAGCAGCCCCTCCMCTTYGTGTTGAGGAGAGCTCAGAKCAGGAGGAGGCTGCGGCCTGAGGGAGGGGAGAGAGGAAAAAAGGAGCTTGTAAACAACACAGCAAGCGCCGTGTCCGCACTATTCCGGCACCGTTATTTCTGGAGCTTATCGATCCTGTCAAAATTCATCACGTGGAACAGGTACTGAAAAAAAAACTGGGTGTCGGTAGCATCCCTATTTACCAGGTGGGTAGTTGTGCTTCCCGTCTACGATCCACTCCAACAGGCTCTCCACCAGGTCCATGTTGATCTTGTCCAGGTCCATCGCAGCCATGGTTTTAAGGACAGACTTCTTGGTATCTGAATGAAATAACAGGTTAAAGACCTGATCGAACCAGTCGGTGAAGTTTAAAGCACTCCTGAACTGACCTTTGTATCGGACTGTGAGGTCCTGCAGACTGAGCTGCTGGTCTGGGATCGAGTCTTTAACGACGTCCTTCTTGCAGAACGACATGAAGTTCCAAACGTCATCGCCCAAGTCATCCACCACATTCCTCGGGTCTGCTTTGCTTCCTCGCCCGCTGGTGAAAGTTGAGTTTTGTTTCCCTGAGCGCATGTAAGGGCTGCCATCCTCAATGACATAACTGCAACAAATGGTTGATGTTAAAACTTTTTATTTTAAAAATGAAGAATTAAGTTCAGCAGTGTGAGTCAGCGTTTACAGTTTCATCTTCCTGTTCAGTTTCAGACGTATTTATCTATCAGAACATTCTGCTCCAGCAGGATTAGTTTTATGACTTTTGGTTTCTGCAAATTTTATAAACAGCAAAATGTACAGCAAATTATTTTTTTCATAGAAATGCATTAATATATTTAATATTTTATTTAATATATCAAAACATTTTATTCTTTGAAATCTGTTTCAGCAGACTTTTTATTTTTTTGTCTTGTGCTACTTTTCGCTATAATTGTTCTGCTTTTAGCCATTGTTTAGCAACTTTCAGCAGCTGATTTGCTACTTTCAGCCATTATTTTGCTTTTTTGGCAATTTTTTTTGCTACTTTTAGCCACCATTTAGCTACTTTCATCTATTATTTTGCTACTATTAGCCATCATGTAGCTACATTTAAGCTATTATTTTGCTACTATTAGCCATCATTTAGCTACTTTCAGCTATTATTTTGCTGCTATTAGCCATCATTTAGCTACTTTCAGCTATTATTTTTTTACTATTAGCCATCATTTAGCTACTTTCAGCTATTATTTTGCTACTATTAGCCATCATTTAGCTACTTTCAGCTATTATTTTGCTGTTATTAGCCATCATTTAACTACTTTCAGCTATTATTTTGCTACTATTAGCCATCATTTAGCTATTTTCAGCTATTATTTTGCTATTAGCCATCATTTAGCTACTTTCAACTATTTTGCTACTATTAGCCATCATTTAGCTACTTTCAGCTATTATTTTGCTGCTATTAGCCATCATTTAGCTACTT